TACTTTCTTTTCAAGCCTAAGGTTTTATTTGTATTGAGCTGATGACTCCTTTTGTTGTAACCAAGCACGGTTTTGGAAAGATGTAAGCCATTAGGGCATATGAATATCTGTTTAGCTTTCATTTCTTATTTCATCTTGTAACACATGTTGTAAATTCAGGATGTGCGATTTATGAATGTATATCGCATGTATCACCTTTTTGTATATTAACTTTGATTAATGAAAGTTTCTTATTTGATTTATACCACTGTGTACTAGTGTTTGGAGTTGGATTTTTGTAATTATTTTGATTAGTTAAGTTTCATTTTCATATTTCAAAATTTTAAATTTTAAATAGATTAATTAACTTTTCTTTTGAAATATGTAAATCAAAACATAATAAGATTTTTTTTAAAATGATTTAATAAAGTTAGCGAGTAAAAGATTTTTTAATTATTTAAAAAAAATTAAACACGAGAAAAAAATTTATGGAAGCTAAGAATTGATTCCTATATTTTAGTGGTACGAGAATTTAAATTTTAAAACTGATTAGTTAATTTTTCTTTTCAAATTTCAAATTTAAAATTTAAAATGGATTAATTAACTTTCCATTTGAAATACGTAAATTAAGACATAATAAGATTTTTTTTAGTGATTCAATAAAAATTAGCCAATAAAAATTTTTCAATAATTTTTTGACAAATCACATTTCTAAGTGTTTTATTCCATCTAACTCATTTTTTTTTTTTTTTGAGTATTTTATCAGGTCCTGTTTAATGTAATATGACTAAATCACCTTTCTAATTTTTGCAAATATTTTCATTTTAAAACTAATACACAATAAAAAAATAACAATATAGTTCCTCATTTCATAGGAAAAAAAATCTCCCTCTCATTCTATGGAGAAAATCACTCTCTTGTTCCACAGAGAAAATATCAAATTATGAATTTTCAAGTTTTTTATAATGTGAAAATTATAAAAATAACGAAATAAAAAATCTGAACAAAAATCAAAAATAAAATATGAATGTTTACAGTAAATAACAAACATATAATTAACTTTTGAAAAAAGAAAACATATATTAAAGAAAAATGTGAATGTTCACAATAAACAATAAACATACAACTAAACTTTGAAAAAATGAAATTCATACCAAAATACAATATGAATGTTCATAGTTTACAACTAACATAAATAACCTTAAAAAAATAAACTCATTCAAACGTTTACAATACAACATGAAAATATAAAATAAAATTGAGAAAAAGTAAAAATCAACTATTTCGATTGTTTAATGGTAACAAAATTGATTGTTCAATTAACAAACATAATAACAAAAACAACGAACATATAACTAATTTTTGAAAAAATAAAACTAATATCAAAATATAATGTGAATATTCACAATTTACAATTAACATCTAACTACCGTTTAAAAAAAACGCATACCAATGTAAACATTTACACTACAACGTGAAAAAATAAGACAAAATTGAAAAAATCGAAAATCGCCTATTTCGAATGATTGTTCAACCAACAAATATAGTAACAAAAACAACAAACATACAATTAAGTTTTAAAAAAAAAAATTAAAATTCATACCAAAATACAATGTGAATGTTCACAATTCACAATTAATATACAACTAGTTTTAAAAAAATTAAATTCATATAAATGTGAACATTCACACTGTAACATGAAAACATAAAACAAAATTAAAAGAAAAAAAAGACTATTCTGATTGTTTAATGGCAACAAAAAATTGATTGTTCAAATAACAAGCATAGTAACAAAGAATATACAAAAAATCATCAAATAATATATAAAAAATATCAAATAGTTCATATATATTGAAGTATCTTTTTTAAAAAATCTATATATAATCAACGTCGATATAATACCGGTCTACAACTAAATTTCTCTTTCCAAATGTTCTTTCATGATAGGGCCTTAATGCAAAATAATGGTGAATGAAGATTCTTGGTTAAGTGAATCTCTCACATTGAAGTAAAGAAAATATTAAGAATAATAATCTTTTATATTCTATATATAATGTTTTATGTATACCACAAATAAAATATATTTAATAATTGATATTCTCTCTCCTATATATATGATATAATATATATATATATATATATTATATAATAAAAGTCTATAAAGGTAAAATAGTCCACATAATAACTTTAGTATGGAAAAAAAAAAAACCCTATTAAAATATAAGTCTGAACATATGAAACTTGATAGAACATTAGAAATTTTATAGGGTGTTTGGCATAAGAAACTTGATAGAACATTAGAAATTTTATAGGGTGTTTGGCATAACTTATATACGGGTGTTTTGGGAAGGAAAAAAAAGCTAACTTTTAGCTTTATACTCATTTTAAGTCACAGTATCTCTTACATTTTTTACCTATAAAAAGACAAAATAGATTAAAAAAGTCAAAAAATTAACTTTTTACCAACTTTTCAAACCACTACATAAGTACACTTATTTATGTCACATTATTTCTCTATTTTTTTCATACATTTTTTTTAATAAAAAGTCAAAAAACATATTTCTTTAGATCATCCAAAGAGACTATAACACATGAGTTTTATAAATAAAATTTTCAATTCCATGATATGTATAGCGATCCCGGTTGTCCCTTTACTGTTCTGTTGTATTCCGGACTCGGTTCCGTGGAGTTGGTAGTGTATCTATCTTGTTGTCGTCCTTTAATTCCATTTGTTTGAGTTATAGGATGTGTTGGGCTTGTTTCGAACAGGTGGGTTGAACCTTAGTCTGAAATCTTGTTGCCAGGTTTTTGGTCGTTCCGCTCGAGCAGGCCTTGTTGCGCTCGAGCGGAGATTGCACACTTCCAGTTTTTCATGTCCCTGCAAAACTTCTGCAGGTGTGATTTTTACGCTCGAGCGGTAGCGCTCGAACGGGTGCTGTGGCGCTCGAGCGGGTAGTACTTTTTGGTGTAAGTTCTGGAAAGGGGAAATCTACGCTCGAGCGGACTGGTTTTCGCGCTCGAGCGGATGTACTTTATTCTTGTGTCTTGGCGCTCGAGCGTACCCAGTTTTTTGTTCTTGATGCTCGAGCGTTGTGTTCTCCGCTCGAGCGGGAGTGTCATATATCAGTTGGCAGCTGGGCATTTTAAAATCACTTTTTACATTCTCTCTCTCTCTTACTTTCTAAAAAGCTATTTTGAGAGCTCCTCTCTCTAGAAACTCCCTTCTCTCTAGAGTTTGATCTAGTTAGATTGTCTCTCTATCCTCCGGCCTTTGTAAAAAGTGTGTTGATCGTCAAGGGCTTCGTGTTGATCCGAGAATCATAGTGTTTGGAGCATTTTCACTCTCTTCTCCTTCTCCGTTTGAGCTCTAACTTCGAGGTAGAGATATCCTACTCCTTCTCATGAGTTTTGTCTTTAAATTTTAGTATTTTGGTGAGTTGGGGGTTGTTGGGTAATTTTGAAAAAGTTTGGGCCTTTGTGTAAATTCTACAAAAGTTGGGGTTTTGTTTATATAAACTTACATGCATGTTTGGCATAGAGAAATGGGATCAATATTGGTTTATTGGTGAAAATGGAACCTTAGGGTGGTGATGTTAATTATGAGAAATGCTCTAATTACATTGATAAATTAACTGGTACAATTAATTTGAAGAAAAGAAGAATTAAATTGAGAACGTTAAAATGTTGATTACATATCCATTTGGTGCATTTATTTTCAGTATAGAAATAACTGCTTTGGGCTATCAGTGGAGGATAGTCTTGATTGTTGTAGACAATGCATGATGATTAGGCAAACTAAAACTAATCAATTGAGTAACCATTGAATATGGTAGTTGGTACCATAGAGCACTCAAATGTGTATTGATTGATTTAATTTGTATATGATAATTGTTTATATACATTGTGTTGTGTGGGAGGAGAAAGGGGTAGTACTCCACGGTTTATTGGAAGAAAGGGGCTGAACCTCTAAACCGAATCTTGTGATAGTGATACAGCACTACAATGTGTATCAGGCTGCGAATTAGAAGTGTTTTCCTGTGACAGTGATACAGCACTGCAATGTGTATCAGGCTGCGAATTTGAAGTGTTTGTTTTGATTTGATATAGCACTAAAATGTATATCGTTATCAATTGTGAAGTATAGAAGTGTTTCTATGTTATGTTGATACAGCACCAAAATGTGTATCGCTCGTATAGTATGGAAGTGACTTATGTGTTATTGATACAGCATCAAAATGTGTATCCACCATGAATTTCGAAAATGTTTTAAGATGAGTCTTATTCTCACCAAGTTATTTGGCTAAGTTTTGAACCTTGTTTTCAAACTCAAAGTTGAAAAAGAAACGAGAAATGAAATGTAACATGGGCTTAATGTCATGAAATCGAAATGTGATATATGTAGATGTATCTGTGTTGACCATCTATCAATTGCTAATCTTTTAGTCATTGTTCATGGCTGGTTTAGTGTTTTTCTACTGGGCTGTGTCTCACCCTTTATGGGACATCATTTTCAGGTATAGGTAGCATGCCACCTCCAAGGGCATAGCTTAGGAGGCTAGAGGCAGACAAATTGTTTTATTTATTTCCTTTTGATGTATTACATGTAAATTCAAGCCAAGGGCTTAATATGTATTGAGTTAGCACTCTTCTTTTTGTAACCAAGTGTTAACTTGGAAAACTGTAAGCCCGTAGGGTATTTGTTTTTGTGGTTAACATGTAATACTTTTGTAAGAACTCTTCTGATTTAATGAAAATGTGGTTGGTTTCTTTGTATCAATGCATGTCTAATGAGATGGGTTTTATTTATTTTTTTTAGAGCGCCACAATATGTTTGGTTGGAGATTTATAGAGGGATTTAGAAAAGAAACTGAAAATAATAAGTGAAATATCAATAAAATGTATTTAAATTTTATCTAATTTCATACTCTTTTTCCTTTTCTTTTTTCTTTTCTAAATATCTTTCTAAATCCACCAACTAAATATTGCAGTAATTATTTTTAAAAAAAATTTCTAAGCGGCGCGCGGTCTTCTACACTTGGGTTTTCTACTCATCAAATCTCACTCGACTTCTGTTTCAGTTGGTCGCTCTGTGTTTTCGTCCTCTGTACAAAAACCCAAAAAGGAAAAGAATTTAAAGAGAAAAAACAAAGACAACGCATTTTAGACGAGACCATCTTTTGCTGATTGAGTTTATAGTTTTCTTGGCTCATTTGAGCTACCAAACGGAGGTTCGGACTCAGCCCTATTGCTCCTCTTTATATTTTTCTCATAATATTTCTTTTAAATGTTTTATTTCATGTTGTTGATTATTAGTTGAACATTGAAAAAGCTTTTACACCCTCTGTTTGTTCCGACAGAAAGTAGTAGTTGCTAGAAAAAAACCCAATTCTTTGGATGGTTGCTTTTATCAGTTCTTCATATTTCTTCTATTACTTCAATTGGGTATGTGGGAATTTGAGTTTTCTTGGAATATTTTTTTCTGGGTATACTTTGATTATTATGCATTCATGAGGAGGTACAATACAAGCTATATAAGTTGGTCTTATTGTAAAAATTAAATAATTGAATAAATATTGAATATATGAATAAATCATTTTCTTTTAATGTATATTCAAAGCACTTTCAGTGATTCTAATGTGTTTTTAGTTTGTTTGCATAATTCTTGTACTCAATTTTGATATCTTTCAACATGTAGGAAGCTTGTGAGTTATCATATTAGAAGCCACTATGCAGGCTTGTAGTGGGACTGCACTTATGGGTTCCATTCAACAGCCCATTTGGGCAAAGGCTTTCCTTCCAAAAGGGTCAGGTTTTAGTGGATTTCATCATCAGGTTAAACTCAATTTGGTTAAACCTTGTAGATCTTCTCAACTTGAAGGGAGCTTGATCACTGGGAGGCCACCCTCTTCTGTGTCTGTCCCTGCGCCAGAAATTGGAGGTAACAATGCTTTCCTATTTAGATTTTGTGCTGGTGATGCTCTTCTCCATGTGAATGGATCTGTAGTCTGGATTTTTGGCTTGCTGGGCTTATTTTGATTTCATGCATGTGTGTGCATGTACAAACATCTGTGAATTCATATTTGGAATTGTTGGGGATATATATGGGTGCTGAATATAGTGTGAGCTAGTGCTTTGCTTTACCAAGTACAAAGGGTGGGTGTAGTGACTAGGCTACTTTGGCAGCCTCAACTGTGCTACTCTTGCTTCTGAAAGACTAGTGTTGGCTGGAGAATTCTAATGAAATATAGGTTTCTGTCTCCGGCACACAACTCCAAACTACCTCCCTGCAGGCGGGCACAAAGTGTCGGATGGAAGGGGTATCTTTGGTGGGTCATTGGTTCTGTTTTGAAGGTGACATACGAGAATGCTAGAATTTCTTCTAATATAATTATGAAGGTTGTGAACTTAATAACCATAAGCATAGTCATGATACCCATCCAAAGCAGAAGGCAGAAGCTGGTGTTTTTTAGTGTCATGTTCAAAATTGTATACTTTAACATTTTTGATAAGTTCTTTTTGGAAAAATCATCGATGATGATGTGTTGACCTTGAATGTTTGTTGATTTCTTCAAATATAATTTTGATGAGCCATTCCCATTTATTTTGTTATAGTTCAAATTCTACTGATTTTTTTTTTATTTTATTTTTTTATTTTTTTTAATTGCGAACATTAACAACCAATTAGATACTTGTAAATTGTATAAACTAGTACTGTCTGAAATATTCACTAGTTAAGACCATTGCAATTATCTTTTTTTGGGCTGTGCCAAATAGTTAATATCAATATTGCTATTTTTTTTTAATATAAAATACTAAATACACTGCAGACAGGAATTGGATGTAAATTTAAAAAGATTGCCGAATGATTGAAAGACATTAGGATGGCAATGGTGTGTAAGGCACATCAATCTATCTTTAATGTCTGTTGGTGCTGACTCGACCTCTGTTTCTGCACTGCCTCTCTCTCTCTCTCTCATCAGTTGGACTCCTTCATTGCTATCTCAGTCACTCTCCTGAGTTTCTGGTGCCTCTGATGTGTTTTGCTACTCTCTAGTGAACCTCTAAGTCTCTGGATGTCTCCTTTCACAGTTGGTTCACAATTACTACATGCTTATGATTTACTTAGAATTTAAAACTTGTAGATGACAATAAATACATTTGTGCCATCTCTACAAATTATAAATTGCAGAACTTGCCCAGACTAACTGTTGCATATTAAAAATTATGTTGTTCAGGTAATGAGAGCAGCTTTGTAGACTATGGCCTCAGCGATGCCGACCCTGAAGTACATTCAATTATTGACAAAGAAAAGCAACGCCAATTCAAAAGTTTAGAGCTTATTGCCTCCGAGAATTTCACATCCAGGGCAGTGATGGAAGCTGTTGGTTCTTGCCTCACAAACAAGTATTCAGAAGGACTACCTGGCAAAAGGTAAGCTCTGCCTATGAGAGGGAAGACCATTTGGTCATGTGTTTAGTACATTTATCATAATTATCTGGGGTTAATTATTTACTTTTGTATATCAGGTACTATGGTGGCAATGAGTACATTGATGAGCTAGAAACTCTCTGTCAAGAAAGGGCTTTGGCAGCATTTCACTTGGATGGGAAGAAGTGGGGTGTAAATGTCCAACCATTGTCTGGTTCTCCTGCTAATTTTGAGGTTTATACTGCACTTCTTAATCCACATGACCGTATTATGGTGAGTTATATTTTTGCTTCATTTGGGCTATGGTCATTAGAAATCTTTGTGTTGAAAGTTTTGGACCTAAATTAAGATTTTAACACATAAAATGACTTAGGGTTTGGACTTACCCCATGGGGGACACTTGTCTCATGGTTTCATGACTCCTAAACGACGGGTATCAGGCACATCCATTTATTTTGAATCCATGCCTTATCGACTCGATGAATCTACAGGTACTGCATTCTGCAATTTATTTTTGTTAAAGATGGAATAGATGATTTCGAGAAGTTCACTCGTGAAGATGATTATGAATTTGTCTCAATTTTTAAACAGGCCATGTTGATTATGATATGCTTGAGAAAACAGCGACTCTCTTTCGGCCAAAACTCATTATTGCTGGTGCTAGTGCTTATCCTCGAGATTTTGATTATCCTCGGATGAGGAAGGTATGGAACTTTTTTGGTGTGCCTTTTATCAAATTCTAGTATTTTTTTCTTTCTTTGTCTGTTTATTACTTTCTTCAACAGTTGTTACTTGGCAATAAATAATTTGAAATTTTCTTTCTATGTGTAAATATTTTCTTCTTCTTTTCATATTTAGTGTTTAATTGGTTACATATATGCATTTAAAGATTGCAGATGCTGTTGGTGCTTTTCTCATGATGGATATGGCTCACATAAGTGGACTTGTTGCTGCTTCTGTGGTTGCCGATCCTTTTGAGTACTGCGATGTTGTAACAACAACAACACACAAGGTATGATCGAACCATTCATCAATTGTTGTTTTCATACTCATTTTCCAATTTCGTGACCGTGCCATGTTTCAAACTTCTGAATTCTGTGTTAGTGCATTCATTGTCTTTATGAGATCTATCAAGATAGTTTTGACAATGTTTCATTGTTATCGTTCATCTTATGCATGCTACAATTTGACAGTATGACTGTGCTCTTGTTAATAATTATGACTTCTACCATCAAGTGTATCGTCAACTTACCAAAAAAGTGTCGTACTTCAATCCAACTTCTAAAGCTGTTATGTTAATGTAATTCATATGTTTGTATACATCTCTAATTACCTAACCCACCTTCATCAGTAAGTAAAAGATTATTCCTCAATTTTCTATTTCCCTTTCAAAGCAGTGTTGAACATTGGAGTAATATGTAAACTTCATTAAAATGATTATTAGAATCTTGCTCTGGATATATCTGACCACAGAAGAAGGATTGTAGGGGACTTGTAGTACTTGGAATTAAGGCTTTGTTGAATCAAGTTGAGTATTTTTCAATTGTTGAACTTTCTTTTTCCAAAGCGAAAGATGTGTAAAATTTAATGGGGCTGATTTCTGGTTTGGCATGTGTGTGTGGTGACTCAGCCTCTCAACTGAACCCTGTACAATCAAGTGGATCCACAGTTGAACCTATCCATCTAGCATCATTTGACTCTAATCTGTTCATTTCAAGCAATTTTTTAACTAAAGGCTTTAATGCTCCCTAATAACCTGAAAAAGGGTGCATATCCTTAAGGAAAAGGTGTGATGATTTGAATGACAAAGGCACGAATAATATTACACAGATAACGGGAAATAAAAGAACAGTGCAATTTTCATTATAGGGATGGCAGTTATGAATCTTATGACATAGCATGTATTCATTTGACGGATCAAATCCATGAATTCATTAGAGGTTCCTATTATGATTTTACATTCAAATTTACCTCAGAAAATTGAATTTCATAACATAAATGTGCACTAATTTTTCAACAGTGCAATTTTCATTATAGGGATCACAGTTTTGAGTCTCAGGACATAATAACATGTATTCATTTGATGGATCAAATCCATAAATTCATTAGAGGTGCCTATTATGATCTCACATTCAATTTAACATCAGAAAGTTGAATTTCAGAACATAAAACTTTGACCTTGTACACTAATTCTTCAACAACATAGAACCATACGTTGAATTGGAGCAACTGTGGAGCTCTGTAAATGCTTATTAGTCTTGTTGATTTCTTAGTAATTTCATATGCCACGCATTTGAATGGGAGCATACCAATTTATAGCTCAGTTCTTTTTTCTGAAAGATGATCAAGCATAACGAAAATAAATGAGAATTAGTTTAACTTGTTTTGTTCGAACTCTTGACAAGCATATAAAGTTTCTTACCCCTCCTCCACCCCTTTTCCTTTTGCAAGCTTGTGCATCTGGTTCTTTGTCTTCATGAGATTGCCCTATAAAGTTTTCTGTGACTATAAGAGGAGAAAATTCGTTTATAATGATTCTATGAACACAAGGAAAATCTTTGACTTATATCTATCTATATCTATTGAGGAATATGCTTAATTTCTGTAATTTGATCTGCATAAACATAATCTGATAAAGTGAGATGTTTCTATGCAGTCTCTAAGAGGACCTAGAGGTGGTATGATCTTCTTCAAGAAGGATCCAGTTCTGGGTGTTGATTTAGAATCTTCCATTAACAATGCTGTTTTCCCCGGGTTACAGGTCGGTTAGATGTTTTCCTTCGCTCTGTCATCATGCGTGCAAATTAGTTCCAAATCTTTTTACCCCTCTATGTACCTACATATTTTCGAATGCACATTTAGCTTGTGCAATTTCTTTTTTTTTTGGACCAAAGAAAGAAAGTACAGAAAAAACTAAAATGAAAGGCAATGAATTATCTTTACAGGGTGGTCCTCATAACCACACAATTGGGGGGCTAGCAGTCTGCCTGAAATATGCTCAATCCTCAGATTTTAGGGCTTATCAAAACGAGGTATTCAACTTTCACTTTCACTTTCACAATCAAAAGATAGCACAACTTTCATCCGACTTAAATTAGCGTAGTTTTTTCAATTTAGTAACTTAACATGGTTACTTCATCTTGTAGGTGGTTTCTAATTGTAGAGCTCTTGCAAGCCGCTTGATCGAATTGGGATACAAACTTGTTTCTGGAGGAAGTGATAACCACTTGGTTCTTGTGGATCTCAGGCCATTAGTAAGTTTCTGATAACTGTATTGATGCTATGCTGTAGATCGTGGGGAGATCATGGAGATATAAGAAGTGCTGTTGAATTAATTGATATAATTCTAATAAAATGTTCTAACATGATATGTCAAGTCGAAGCAAATGACCTAGCATGGCCCACTTGTGAGAATATTATGTAATTATGGAAATATATCAATTACGTTGATTGTGAATATTTAATTGATTGTATAGGGTTATTTCCTATTATAGATTAGGTTTAGGATTGCTATAAATATTGGTTGTAATTCAGTTTTTCTAAAGAAGCTTGAGATGTATTTGTCGTCATTGTCTAAGGTTTTTGATATTCTAGATGAACTTGTTTTTAATTACCAGCATTGAGTCGATTGAGATTTTTCACTTGAAAACAGGGCCTTGATGGTGCTCGGGTGGAAAAAGTTCTTGATATGGCCTCTATCACTCTTAATAAGAATTCAGTACCTGGTGAGTCTTGCCACGGTGACCTTTATCAATGAAAACTCTTGTGATTATCCTTATTTTCCTCCTATACTTGTTAAACTGTTCCGCGTTGAACTACTTAGGTGATAAAAGCGCTCTAGTCCCTGGTGGCGTACGGATTGGATCACCTGCTATGACCACCAGAGGTTTTACAGAAAAAGAATTCATAGCAACTGCTGATCTTATTCATGAGGGCGTGCAGATAACTCTTGATGCAAAGCGGTCAGTTTCAGGTTCAAAGCTCCAAGACTTCATGAAGTTCGTGGGATCTCCATATTTTTCTTTGATGGACCGAGTGTCTGATTTGAGAAGAAGAGTTGAGGATCTGACTACCCAATTTCCGTTGCCTGGATTATGAGAGATATAAATAGATAACAAAATAGAATGAAATGTGAGCTAATTGAGTGCTATTTGTGATGATTCTATTATCTATACATGTGATATGATGCACAATTTTGGATGTTGGGATGAACAATGATCGTGTGATATATTGTCTCGACTTACTAGCTTTGTGCTTAACTTTGTTGAGAATAAATTGAAGGAAAAGCAGAGTATTGCAGCTGAGTTTGGCTTGTGTTTGTTTTATTCTACTACCTTCTTTCGCGTCTGTGTGGTGCAATTTTTATCTATGTTGAAAGTCGATCATCAAAAGTAAAAGAAACTAATGTTGTGTTTGGTTGGAGGATTTGGAAAGAAAAATGGAAAAGGTAGGTGAAATGTGAATAAAACATACATGTATTTCACTTCGTTTTACACATCTTTTTCCTTTTCCTTTCTAAATCTCTCTTCAAATTTTCCAATCAAACATAGCGTAAAGCTCCTTTTTATTTTCTTGATTACAGATGATTTGTTTTTCCAAATTATTTAAGTTGTTTCTATCTTGTATTCTATAAGCGAAAGTTGTACCAATCTCGAGCGCTAACTTCAACCTTAACCCTAGCCATCACCACCCATTTCTGCTGCCATCTCTAGCCCCTTAACACACTCCATGGAATCCTCTCTGGCTCTTGTGCATGCACAGCATGATGGGGTCACGGGAGGTAGGGTTGGGGTTATGGAGCTGGGATTGTACAGGGTGGAGGGGCCAGCCACAAGGGTGGTGGGTTGCTGGCAATTGGCTACAATGACGGTGGTCCTTTGGTGATGGGGCAAGTAATTTATTTTAAAATAAAATTAGCATAATATTCTTTTCAAAACACTAATCCTTAATGAACTCACAATAATGTTAGTAAGACTATGATTGAATGTATAACAAATCAAAAATAGATATTTTATTATGTCACATCCTCTGCGAAATTGTTTTTGAGAGTCAAATGGAAAAGTTATTTATAAGTCCTATTATAAAGACTTATGCTACATATGGCCCTAAGTAAATTCTCATAAGTCATGTGGGAAGTTGGTTGACACATTTACCCTCAAAATTAGTTGTTAATATCATAAATAATGGCAAAATCATATATAGGAAATTGAATATTATCATATATCATATTTATGTGGATGTGAATTTGAAATTCAAAATACACGTGATATTTGAAGATTTCTACTTTAAATAGGCAAAATTTTATGAAACAAAACAAATTAGATATGTTTTGTGTCTTTATTCTAATGTAAACTACTGGTTCATTTGAGAATATTTTGAAACCCACCACCGAGAGGAGAAGGGGCGCGATTCGACAGCCAAGTTTGACGGGACGGTGGGAACGAAATACCGTCTCCGGTGAACGACGAGGAAGGATGGTTCCAAAACGTAAGTGTGGCTTTTCCCCTATTTTGCAATGTTTATTCATTTGATTTTGGTTAACAAACCATAACTAGGGCTTATGTGAATATGGAATTTTTGATAATTTTGGTTTCTTTCAGTCAGAAGATGTAATGGTAGTTGTATATTTTGTGAGTTTTATGAGAATTAAAGATTTTTATAGTTCTCGGTTTGAAGATAGTATATATGTGGGGGTTGTCGACTGTGTGTTATGTGACTTAGTTGTTGGTATTCTAGGGTGGGGGTTTGGCGGGTTGTCAAATTTGGGTGTTTTATGCATGATTCGTTGTTGTGTTGCTGGTTATGGGGTCTATTTGCCAATTTGTTTTTTTGGAACCATGCAAATGATTGTGTTTGGTAGTCTGATTTTTGGGGGTTCACGTTGTAGTACGATGTCATTTGGTTGTGTGCATTAACTAACAAAAGTAGGTTGTTGGATGTGACTAGTGCCACGTCCTTGTGTTATGTGTTGACCAATTTCTGAATGTGATAGTGATCCAATGGTAAATTACTTTTGAATATGAATGTGACCCCACGTAAGTAAGTTACAAATGGGAATTAGACCCCATATGAATATTTTGTGAATATTAACATGATCCCATTTTTGAATGTGAACGTGAATTAGTGGGACTATTTGTAAATTGTCACGTTGTGCTACGATGTCGTTTGGTTGTTTGCATTCAGTAAAAAAATTAAGTTGTTGAACGTGGCACGTTTGACGTACTTTAAGATTTGTGAATGTGACCAAATATTCGTGAGAGACCGTGTGTACATTGTCACAGTGAGTCGAACAATGGAAGTAACATGATTTGGGATTGTGGTTGTGGTTTCATGTCATCATTTGAAGTTGGCACGTTCGTGTTCGTAGTGGGTTGGTCGTCAAGATTCACGTAGCACATTTTTGTTTATATTTTATTTCACATTACTTTATGAATTGGCATGCGTGACATTATTCATGGTTATATTGAGTACTTTACCGTCATATATTTTAAGCGTATGTGGGTACATAATTACGGCTTAATTGTGAAATGTGTGGTGAGGTAATTTTCGTTACAACGTCAAGTGTATTCCGCGGGACGAATAAAATATGTTTTAACTCTGAATGTGAATCTGAATTTTTAGGAGAATGCTAGTTGTTTGTCACAGTGAGTTGAATAATGTGCATAACACAACATCGGGTTGTGGTTGTGGTTTCAGTTGCACATTTTATGTTGTCACGTTCGTGTTTGTGTTGGTAGTGTGTTGTACATCAATATTCACATAGCTCAGTCTCGTTTATATTTTGACATTATTCAACAAATTGGCATGTGTCCCATTATTGACTTTCACATTGCATACTTTAGTGTGATATTTGTAAACGTGTGTGAGAATGTGGGTACATAGTTATGTGTTAATTTTTGAAATATGTGGTGGAGTAATTTCCGTATCAACATCAATTGTATTGTGCAGAATAAAGAATACACCTACGGGTTGTTGTTTGTGTTGGGTAGATTTGGTTCATGTTTCAATTTCCATGTCACATTGTCTCTCACAACGTCACATTTACAAAGTTGCATATATCCATTAAATGTGGTCACATTTGTGTTCGGGGTGTGTTACACAACAATCATTTCATTTCATGTTATGGCTTTTATTGTTACATTATTTGATAAAATGGCATGCGCCACATTATGCTATATGTTGTGTTATATCATGTACAGGGCCGGCCAAGGGCATAGGCTCACAAGGCCATGGCCTAGGGCCCCTCAAAATAGACTCACAAAAGGGACCCCCTCCTATTATAGTTTAGTGTAATATATTAAGTATATTTTAAATCCAAAAAAAATTAAAGAAGGCCAAAACTAACTTAAAATAAATTGACCCATTAAAAAATTAAAAGGCCCATTCAAAAAAATTAGCATTGTTATCCATTGCATATAAACCCAAAAAAGGGGGCCTCTCCTATTATAGTTTAGTGTAATATATTAAGTATATTTTAAGTCCAAAAGAAATTAAGAAAGGCCAAAATTAACTTAAAATAAATTGATCCATTAAAACATTGAAAGACCCATTTACCATTGTCATCTATTGAAAATGATTTTACAAAAAAAATTAGATTATGCAAGTATTATTGATTTATTTACTTCTAAAAATACAAGAAGAGCGAGGATTAAACGATACTTTTTAATTGTTATAATGTAATGCTAAGTATTTTTTGTGATTTTGACACAAATCCTTTGTCCATTACTTTCATTTTTTTTTTTTTTCATTTAATGAAAAAAAACAAATGTGAAGGGCCCCAGAAATTTATTAGTTAATTATCAGCTTTGGGCCCCAGAAATCTCAGGGCCGGGCCTGATCATGTAACACATTGTTCCGTATATGTCAATTTGTATAATGTTTTGTAAAATTTGATATTTGTGTTGTTTGTTTTTGGGTTGAAGACGTTAGCACCCATAAACACATGTTCGTCATTTTTAATTTTTCCTTATAAACCAATAGTGTTGTGGTGCTTTCAATCACAACGTTATTGTGCCCTTTGGATTATGTTCACATGATTTATAAGTACATTCATATTAAAGAATGATGTGCATTAAATTGTGTAGCTAAGAAAAGGCATGTTAATCTAACACAACTGAAACGTAATGACATGTGAAAATGTTGTAATTAATTTTGATGCTTATCGAATGAAGCAAAAACGTATCTTCAGGCATACTTATTGAATGTGTTGGACTTGAAATATTATATTGTCATCCAATTAGGATGTTAATGTATGGTGTGGGTCTGTCAATGGGTGTGAATTGAATACACGTACTATCACATCTTATCCTATTATATGTCAATGTTCACAATGAACATATTAACTCATCTTGTCACATAATGCTATTAATTTCCATATTCACTTTAGTTATTATTGGCCATTTGTTTGTATACGAAATGCAAAATGTTTGTGGCATGTGTATCAGGAGGTACAATTAAGGTTACACCACAAAAGGGGTCCAATGCAAAGTAAACACCCGTGAAGGGACTACATTTGCTAAAAGACGACGGTGTCTATCTCCGTCACGGAGTGCGAATGCAGTAAGGCAAAGCAGTGTTGGAAAAGGAAAGAAGGTCAAATACGAACCTCAACAACCATTGACCAAACCACCTAGATTTTACTACCGGTCTAACATCACTGGAATTGTGAAGGTTGTGGCAGCGTCAAATCTGAAAGATGAGCATTTGCATCATCTTCAAAAAACACCGTTCTGACTTCTGTTTGATGCAATGCGAAAAACTAAGTTAAATCAAAATGATTTCCAAAAATGCAATGACATTGTAATGAGGATCATTCAAACATTTGTTCCAAAGAAGTCCGTTTTCATGATTGGTGGGAAACACATTGAGTTAACGAGCATCGATATACAGCTAATATTTGGAATCCATGGTGGCAAGCAGAGTTTAGATGTGTTACATGGGCCAAGACTTCCGACTGACTTCATCCAACGGAGGTGTCCCAACATAGCGCGCATAAACTTGAAGACCATTAAGGAACTGTTAATGGATGCATTATTGGGGAACACAAGTCAGGACCACCAGGATGTCACAAATGTATTGTGTTTGTACTTATGTGGAAAGTTGTTCTTTACCACTTCGGGCGAGACCGTGGGATGGGGATTTGTCCGAGTTGTTGAGGATCTAGAGAACATGAAAGCATATGATTGGGCGGGAACAATATACACAACATTGATGGAGTAAATTAAGTGATTCTATTCTAAACCTAAGAAAGTTATTGGATGTGTAACTACCCTGCTTGTAAGTGCTCTGTAAATTTTTTTTTTATAGATTTAGTTAATTATTATTT